CATCCTGATTCAAACCAGGATTTTCTTTTCCACTCAATCTTTTATTGCTGCTTTAATTCTGGCTGCTTTATTTTTTTTTACCATTAAAAAACCACTCAGAGTTTTCCTTCAGACACTGGGGATGCTCACAAATATTTCCAAAACCAGAAAATACTTGTTTTATTTCTTAAAATATTGGTTTTATTTCTTAAAATATTGGTATTATTTCTTAAAAATATATTTTTTATTTCTTTATTTCTTAAAGCAGCAGCTCAGTTCCTGAGAATTTTAGAGAGGGTAGGAAAAAAAATCCAAAAGCAAAAATTCCTATTTTTCAGTGTTGGGTATTGGTGGATGCTCTGCAGAGATTTAGGATATTTCTATAAATCATGATAAAAATAGGGTTTTTTTAGTGATTTTTGGCCCATCTTTAATTCCAGGTGGTGTTTGCAACCCCTGGGATGCTCCATGCAGGACAGTCCCTCCAAATCTTCAGGAAATGGGCAGGGAATGAGAAGAACATGGTAAGAAATTGAGTTTTTATTGAGTTTTTATTGGATTTTATGTGGTTTTTTTATGGGTTTTTATTGAGTTTTTATGGGGTTTTTATGTCTCTTCTTAATGTGATTCACAATACTGAGATTTTAGCAAAGCTTTTCTTGAGGAGCTGGAATTAAATGACAAAAATCCTCTTTGAGCTAACTCTAAATCAACTCTTTTGACGTTGTACATGGATTTTCACAGCAAATCCATGGAAATTTTGATTTTTCTGGTTTTTTTTCCCCAGGTGATCATGCCTGGCTACTGTGTCCAGGGAACTGTGGGCCACAAGATCCTCAGTGGGCAGAGGAAGCTGGAGATGGAAGGGAGACAAATTGTGAGTTGGATTTTCACTTTCCAGCACTGAAAACACCTCAAAATAATCTTTATATTTGCACTTTTTTTTTTTCTTTTTGCTGTAGCAAAGTTGGATTTGGTTGGGGTTTTTTTCCCCTTTTGCAATAATTTCTACCAAAAAAAAACCAACTTTGAGGGGCCCTTTGCTTCTGCTGTAAAATTTAGGTTACTAAGTTTTAGTAAAACTGATTAAGTTTTACTAAAATTTTAATGCTTAGGGACACTTTTTATTGTTTAGTAACCAGGTAAATAGTTGAAATTGATATATTTTCACATTTCAGCTGATATATTTTTCAACTTTTCATTTTTCAATTGATACATTTCCACCCATATGAAGCACATTTGCATAATAAAACACCAGCTGACCTTCAATATTTGCTTTTTGTGACAAGTATTGCCTGAAATGAGGCAGCTGGAGCCTTTTAAATTCCAACAGCTTTGTGTTGAGGCAATTTAGGTTTTCTCCTTCTTCTTTTGAAGTAAATCCAGAGGGATCTGGGTGTGTTCCCAAGGAATTCCCAGTCCCAGTGCTGTGCTCTGCTCTCCCAGCTGTGAAGCTGCAGGTGGAGTTCACATCCTTCAATATTTGCTTTTTGTGACAAATATTCTCTGAAATGAGGCAGTTGGAGCTTCTAAATTCCAACAGCTTTGTGTTAAAAAGTGTAGGTTTTCTCCTTCCTCCTTGGAAGTAAATCCAGAGGGATCTGGGTGTTCCTGGGTGTTCTGGTAAATCCAGAGGAATTCCCAGTTCCCAGTGCTGTGCTCTGCTCCCCCAGCTGGAGGTGAAGCTGCAGGTGGAGTACATGACCTTCAGTATTTTCTTTTTGTGGCAAATATTCTCTGAAATGAGGCAGTTGGAGCCTTTTAAATTACAACAGCTTTGTGTTAAAAAGTTTAGGTTTTCTCCTTCCCCCTTGGAAGTAAATCCAGAGGGATCTGGGTGTTCCTGGGTGTTCTGGTAAATCCAGAGGAATTCCCAGTTCCCAGTGCTGTGCTCTGCTCCCCCAGCTGGAGGTGAAGCTGCAGGTGGAGTACATGACCTTCAGTATTTTCTTTTTGTGGCAAATATTCTCTGAAATGAGGCAGTTG